AACTCACAAAATAATTGCAGCAGTTTTCATACATTTCGCTTGAATTTTCCTTATTCTGTCATTTCAACGCACGACATTTAGGCTAAGCTTTTTTGCAGGCATTATGTGCTAGATCAATAAATCCTGGTCTATTTTTTAAAAATGTTACGCGGTTTGACAAACTCATGTACACGTAACTTTATTTAATTAAACTGCACGTAAAATAAACAATAAAGTATAGTGATGGTAATTATAATAGTGTACAGAGTATTCAACGGTTATGAGCATTCAATGTATGACACGATTTTATGAGTCGAAACTCACAAAAAACGAAGAATAAAACCAGTACTAAAGAATAAAATAACTAAAAGGTGTTTATAGCAGTCTATGAAAAGAACCGAAGCTAAATTATTGCAAATTAAAGCAAATGTAAAGTTTTAATGAAAGCAAACTTAGCTGAATATGCAGAAACGTATGAATGCGTGTTCACAAATTCCTAAGCATATGGTTTTGAACAAACTGTGCATGCATATTTTAGACCTGAATAAGTCGAGAAAGTCCATAGCAATTGTATTTAGTGTAATATTAATTTTTTGGAAATTATACACAGATTAAATATTGATTGTGTGAAATACTTTGCAAATAAAAAAACTAAAGTTGAAATCGAAGCCAATCGTCACGTTATGACAACGACGTTGTGCCATCATATAGCATATTCGTTGCATTACAAACGGGTAAGGTGATCCTGAATGGAAAAGCCAACATACAATCTGGACTCTTTGGACAAAGGGCTTTCTAACGATATGAGATTTGTAGTGTTTGATCGAGAAATTTGCGAGAAAAGTTCAAAACAGACAAACGCAAGCATATTATTTATATAGATGATCCCTCGACATTTTAGGCTAAACGAGATTCATTTAAACTGCAAATTATGACAGAACTATAAAATATTATAGAATAATAATAGGTGTGAAAAAAAAATGTTGAATCTCTTCTTTCCCATCATTTATTGACAGGCTGTGATCATGAAGTGTGTTTTTTTTTGTTTGTTTCTTTTGAAATGTAAAGCTACTAAGGCTATCTCTCACTGTCTTTAATTTTGAACTACTGACCATGGTGGACAGCAGCCTAGCTGCACCCTATTGTTCATGCTAAGGGATTGACTATCGCTGTTATAATGAACCCACAGTTTAAAGTGAGGATAATACTTTATAGTGTGATATGCAAAGCCACCACTTGTTTTCTTCACCATCAGTTACCAGTCAAAGTTTTCGTAATATCTGTATATTTTTTTGTTTTACATTAGAATAGAGAAGTTTCTTCTGCTTTAATTATGTGCAGAATGGGGGAGTCACCAAAGTCGTAATTTGTGTCCCCATTACAGAGGATTAATGTAGCATGAGAAACATTATAAATAATGACAGTAATAGTTTTTTAGTGTGGTAAACAGGGTGGAATCCTTAACACTTGACACTTTCTTGTTGACTTGGAAGTAGTCCTCTGACACGTGGATAGCACACACACCTAGAGAGAAAGAATGTATGTATATATTACTATGTTTTCTTTGTTTTAGATAATTCTTTGTTTAAGCCAGTTTTGGTACAGAGTTAGCTTCAGCTTTGTTGCCAGTTAGATTTTATCTTTAGTTTAATTTTAAAACTTAATTAGATTCCGTCTGCCTTTGCCTTCAGTGGCTCCGCGGCAAGTCTGAAGGCTTATAACGCTAAAAACCGTTTGTTTATTGTGCAGATTTTTGTATAACGACAAACAAAGAAGAAATATATTCCGTTTTTAAACATAATTTACTTTGAACCTTGTTATTTACACTTAACTTGAAGTAATAATTGTTGAGAGAGATTTAATAAAGGTCTCTTCAAAGCACACCAGAAACATTTGCCTGTGTTTAATTGTTTAACTTTGGTTTGTGTTAATAAACAAATATTACCGATTTTTATGATTTGGTGTTCGGTGTTTTTCACTGAGTCAGACGTTGTTCAAATTCAACAATACTCAAAACCTTCACTCCATGATATATTTATTACTAGCTGTAGTACTCGTCCCCTGGACTGAATTTATGTAGATTCATGATTAATGAAAGGCTAGCTTAGAACATGAAAAGCTGCTTCCATTATATGTAATTGTAGCCCCCCAGTGGCACAGCGGTATGTCTGCGGACTTACAACGCTAGAACGTGAAAAGCTGCTTCCATTATATGTAATTGTAGCCCCCCAGTGGCACAGCGGTATGTCTGCGGACTTACAACGCTAGAACATGAAAAGCTGCTTCCCTTATATGTAATTGTAGCCCCCCCAGTGGCAATTACAACGCTAGCAACCGGGTTTCGATACCCGTGGTGGGCAGAGCACAGATAGCTCATTGTGTAGCTTTGTGCATAACTACAGACAACAACAATGTAATTGTAAAAAACGCCCATAAAAACCGCAAAACATAGAAAAAAAAACTAAAAATATGTATGTATCTCCCCATGGACCCATTGAACCTCAATACCAAATTTAGTGAAGAACCATACACAGGAGAGGTAGTGGGAAAAAACAACAACAAAAAAACGCTAAAAAAACAGCAAAACGCAAAATTTAAGATTTATATGCATCTCCCCGTGAACCCAATGAACCTTCATACCAAATTTGGTGAAGATCCAGCTACAGTGGACAAAATAATAGTAAAAAACGCCCATAAAACCCCCAAAATCCAAAACTGAAAATGTGTATATACCCCCGCATGGTAAAGATCCATCCACACCCTGTGAAGTAGTTACATGGACAGACAGTACTATAATATTTATATAGATATATCGAATATCTTTTTTTTTACTGTTCCTACTTGTTTACTCTGAGGAAAATCAGTGAATCTGAAAATACTACAATGGTATCGCAAGGATTTGAAAAGTTACCCGAAGTCTCAGTTAAGGTCGGCCTTCACTAAATAACAATTGGTACGTGCTGAAGAGATATGAGATTTTATGGTGTTTTTAAATTCAGAAAGTTATTAAACAAATCGGTTAAAGTCGGTAAAAGACAAAAACCGAAAAATCTTTTAGAAACAATTATTAGTTTTAAGAAACTTCGAAATTTTCACTATTGCTGTGTATGGGAAGTGATTTGAAGATGTTTTTAAATTCAGAAAAGTTATTGAATAAATCGGTTAAAGACGGTAAAAGAGAAAGACGGAAAATAGTTAATAGTTTTTAAGGAGCTTTATAATTTTAACTTCTGTGTGTGGAAGAGATCAATTTGTGGACTAGTGGTAAAAATCACGTGATATTTTATCAGATTACTATAGAAATTTAGTGGGTAAAACACATATGTTTTTTTGAGCAAAAATTTTCTGTGAAAAAGATGAACGGCTAAATAAGATAATGCGTAAAAATTAAGTGAACAAGTAATCACATGAAAACAGCATTTTATAATTGCATAGGTGAAATGGACCTCCAATGGCTCAGTGATAAGTCTGATGGCTTATATTACTCCGAACCGGGTTTCTATACCGGTGGTTAGCATAGTACAGATAACCCATTATGTAGCTTTGTGCTTAACTACAAACAAACAAATATGTGGTACGTGGCATTGAAATATGACTACAGATGTTAGCTGGCGACTTATTAAAACACCTGACATCCCGTCAACTCTAAGTCAAGTTACTTTCATCATCAGTGAAACATATACAGTAGACTCTTCTTGAGCGAAAATCTCCCCAATTAGATCACTTCCCCCATTGCTGGCAAAATATTACAGTCCCCCTTTCCATACTACGACCACTGAAATCAGTCCCGAGGCCATTGTTGAATTTCCACGTTACGACCGCCCGCTGTCTTTTTTTTTTTATGATAAACATTAACAGGTGTGGTCGTTGTTGAAGACCAAGACTACAACTACTCAACTACTACAGCTCGCTTAAGACCATCTTCCCAATGTCAGCAGCGAATACGTCGACCAAAACAAAGACTTTCCCGCCACCGAAGAGTTCTATGACAAATGGGAACAAGAACTTCTCAACGACCTGAATGGTGACCGTCCCACTGAAGACAGCGATTAGTCTACAAACGCAGAAGAGTGCACAACGCGCGCAAATGCTAAAGTACACTGCAGACATGAAGAAGTTTGCACTGAAAAACCCAGCACTCATGAAAATGATGGACAATTTAAATAATGTAGAAGGTATTGTTCAAAGTGAAATCGTTAACACTATATATATATAAATCCAAAATCACCAACTGTTTTGTGTAATATATATGCAATCAAGTTCTGTGACTAAAATTTGTAAAATACTTTGAATGATGAAAACAAAGATAATAAAATATAAAATATTCAAGAAATGAATAATTACTAATAGTTTGGATGTACAATATGCAAAGAAATATCACACATAACATTACAATTCAATATTCAAATATTTTACAGTTAACTGATGAATTGGTCGATCCCTAGAGACCACTTTTGTTCAGACCCAAAGTCTTAATAGGGAGAGTCTACTATATTATAAAATGTTATTGAATAACTATTTTAAGCTAAAAAACGCTGTAATTATATGTTATTTGTTACAACACTTCTATAAGAATAGATATCAGGAAGATAGAATTTTATTAAACATGATTCGGCACATTCAAAAAATCCCCCATATTCCTCAACCTTAAACGCCGATTGAAGTTCTTCTAAGGTTAATTTTCTGGTAATTAACATAACAATGCAATCAACTTAAACATATTTATATTTTATTGAGTACTTTAGACTTTGTTAAATTGTCAACACATGTTACATATATATACTGACGAGGACAACAAATCACATAAATGATGTAACTAGTAATTTTTCAAAGACAATATCTTACTTCGATTTCATATTCAATTTAATTAGAAACCTATCCTTAAAGCGTGAAGAAATATCTGAACTACGTAAATTTCCACTTCTTCTCAATAACGTATTAATTTTACGATGTCATATTTTACCCTTTTAAAAATTTTTGTTTAACATTTTGCTTTAGAAAGAGGGCAGCACAGGGAGGTTATATGACCTTCTGTTATTATGCAAAAGTCGTGTGTAAGAAGACGTTAGTGATAGTTTGTTATTGTTTTTACATACGTTAATAACTATTTAAACACGTTAAGACATTAATTGGTTTATTTAAGAATGTTTCGTGCAGCTTGTCACCTGAAGGGCGTTAATGCATTTGGAATTTTTAAAGTAAGAATGTTTTAAATTTGAATTTCGGCTTCTCTGTCACATTATATTCATAATATTTATTTTGCAGTTCAACACAGTAACTTGTGATAGCAACACTAACAGTGAATAACACTTAGTTAGTGAATTTCGGTACTGCTTTGTCATTAAATAATGAAATACTATATGATCCCAGTCTCCTCTCTGTAGTTTGCCCATGCCTTATCCAATGGAAACGAGACAGCATTTGAAATAATGTAATTCAGTGATGTTCTGTAGAAGAATTGTCTCTTGATTAAATTCCCTGACTGGGCTGTGTCCATTTAGAGGACATTACAAAAAGGCATTAAATGTGTTACTAGTTATTTCATGTAAATTCGTCATATTGCTGGCATAGCATCCATTGATGTATCTGAAGACATATTTCTTGTTGACACATGCCCCCTCCTGCTTCTTTTATCTTTATCAAAGATGTTTTTTTTGTTTATCATATTATACATTAGTCATCTGGATTATACTTTATATTGTAGATTGAGATTTGGAAAGTATGGACAGGTGGAGAATACGGATGAGATTTGGACTGCATAGTTAGCTTCTCAGTTAATATGTCATTGAGAACCTTGCTCATGTTGGAAAGATTCTATTTTTGGATGCTTTTTTTACCCCTAATTTAAAACATGCACATATTACTTCCTCAAGACAATCAATGATACTTTTTGAAACAATCTTGTCCCACTTAGAGTAGAAGACGGTGTGGAAGTAGTGTCAAGTAAACACGTATAAAAGTAGGATTTCTCATACAAATGATCAGCATTTTTGTATTGACGTGTGTTTTTGACATTTTACATTATAAACATCTAGAATAGTTTGTAGTCGATGTTTTGATAACATATATATAGCATAATGTTTATCAACGTCTGTCTGTTTATTATTCTAAGACCTATGACCATTCCCTTCTAACATCATTTCTTTTAATTGAGTTTATGTCCAAAAATTTCCATCATTTTTATGTTATGTTTTTCACTGTGTTAGGTGTTGGAGACATGTATAAATATTTTCTATACCATGTAGAATTAATTTGCCTAAATATGTACCTAGACTCATCCAAGTCCTATTCCTTTTATAGCTAAAATAAAATATACTACATGTGTCATTGTCTTGATTAACTTAATTATAGGATTAACACAAGTGAAACTTTAGCTTGATTTAAATATTATTCTTTAGGTCAAAGAATTATTTATTGTGCTTCTCACTGTGTAGCAGGCAGTGAGAATTATATTTGCCTTTTTACAAAATCATCATTTAAATATAATGTTTTTCAAGTTAACAGATAATTAACACCATGGTACTGGTAATGAATGAAAAAAGAAATACAAAAAATTCTCACCATTTATTGTTTGTTCTAGTGAAAACTTAGACTAAATGTGGTAATGGGTTGGAACTTATTTTTGTTAGAGATTTGGAAAAAATTTAAAATATATTGGTAGAAACAGAACAGTGAATGTATCAAAATTACATTTGCTTCTTAAATAAAACAACTTGCAACATTTTATTGACATAAAGTTACTTTTAGAATGTATGAAAACATGAGGCTTAACAAAAGATTCATGAAATTACATTTCATCTCATTGTTCTAAAATCTTGGAGTATACAAAAAAATGTATGTAGTCAGTTGCCAGTAATTGAATTACCTCCAAAAAATAGGACACCAAGTATATTTTATTGATTGTTTGAGGGAGTGATGAAGAGTTGTAGTGAGAATGTGTATTATTTTGAAACACATCCCAATCCTGTCCATTTTCACATATATGTAGAAAAGGAGACAAAGGAATGTTGAGTTATAATTACTTACAGAAGGACCCTTCAGACAGATTTCTAAAAATAACCTTTGTTTTTCAGTTATTTCAGGAGTGGTATTCAGGTAGAAATGGTTTTGTAGACAACATTTTTCTTAATATATTGCAAAACTGGCCCATCTAACTTTTAACCCCATTGAGAAGCATTTTTTTTAAATGTTTGACATTGAAGTTTTGCTGATGTTTATGACTGACTGACTGATATACATGAATATAGTCAGTCATTCATAAACATGACCATAAAAATGATATGGTACATGAATATCTTTTTTATGGTCATGTTTATGAATGACTGACTGATATGGTATATAAATATCTTTTTATGGTCATGTTTATGAATGAGTGATTGATATGGTACATGAATATCTTTTTCTTTTCTTTTTACTTAATTTTACAATACTTGCTAAATTAGCAATATATGTTATCTACTTAAATTCAGCCACATTAATTCTCTGAAATTATATGATGCAGTGTACCAGAAAGACATGTAAATGAGTTCTTTCTGATGTACAGTGTGGCTCAAAAAAGAAACTGACCTAAATGCTTTATCATGAGTGAACATGATCAGTAGATTTTATTTGTAGCTTGTGAAATATGGATGACTTCACAGATCTTATTAAACTGTAGAACTGGTTGATCAGTGGTTAGGCTTCAGATCCATGCGAGTAATGTTAAACTATCTGTTTTTCATTTATGTGAACTGTTAGCCAAGTGTCTTTTCATTAATTAGTTTTTCCATACACACACACACGTTGTAATGTGAAACATGATTTGCCATCCTAGAAGTGCAGTTTAGATTTATTATACAATATGCTCTTTAATAATAGGTAGGTATACAATGATGTATAAGCACAAGGAAGAATTTTATTTAAGGTGGAACATTCTACATGTGATAGAATATTGGTATGACGTGTACAAGGTTTATATATCGTTACAAAGATAAAAAACAAAGGGATTAAATGTTATGGAAATGACATGATATAGGTAAAGGTCGGGTTTGGTCAAGTGTATCAATGGTGAAAAGACCTTGCCAAATATGACTGATGCTGCTAATGCCATTATCGTGGTTCAGTAGGAGATCGTTTGCTTTGATGATTTCTGTACTTTCTAAACGGTCTCTTACTTTTTTAGTTTTGGGTTGGTGTAGGAGAAGAATTTCATCCCAAAGTATTTTGTGACCTGTTTCATATTGATATGTTTAAGTGGATATGTGGAATTCACCTCTATACATGTGACTTTGGTGTTCTTTACGTTGTATTTATAAGTAACGTGATGTTTGTCCTACGTATTTCTTTCCACGTTCATCTGGGATACTGGATATGCTCTGTTTATGTTCTTTAAGTTGGGATGCTCTCAGGTTAGTTAGTAAAGTGATGATTTTATGTGAAGGTTTGAATATACATTGGTCTGCCATAATTATCTGAGGCAGTGTGTTGTATGGCCCTGTTTTTTCATTTTGCAGTATTAAAATCTAAATTTATTTTCTTTACAAAACCAGGTTATAATATACAGGTTATGTACCATGAACTTACTAAGATTCTAAACTGCTTTGCTGCACCTGTTATAATACAATTTCTTTTCACTCTTTCTACTTACTGTAAAAGTTAAGTTTATAGTATTTGTCTTGAATCTTATAAACTTTCTATTGTTGTTTATGTTAAAAAGATGTATAACTACTGAAAGTGCTTAAACTGGTGACTTTTTTCAACCAAATATTTTGATTTCAGTAGAAATTTTCTTTCTTATTTACAGTTTAGTGAGTTATTAATTCTAACATAAACCATGAAACTATTATTAAATGGAGCACTTTATCATGTGCATACAACATTTTGGTGTACATAGCTGTACAAATTCTTAGCTGCTGTCAAATGAACACTTGTATAAAAATAAATACAGTAATAATGTTTTCTTTCCTAGGGTGCTGGAGGATCTCTATCCTCAGTTCGATCTGTTCACAAGACTCCACTGCCTAAAGAATGGGTGGCTATGGCACAGAAGATGCTCAAAGGCAAGGATCCAGAGAAGAATTTAACGTGGCACACACTTGAGGTAGTTAAACGTGTTTGCACATTTTGTTTTATTCTAATTTGTTTGATGTTTTTGGCTTTTTAAAATTGTAAAAACTGACTTTAAAATTGTTGAGTAGAAAAATTAAAACGTATATTTTTTGGAAGCTTATTATAGTTTCAAGTTGGTTCATTACAGTCTTTGAAATGTCAAACTTCTGTGACAAAATTTTTTATTTTCAGCTTTTCTTATAAAGAAAAGATTTGTATGTGGCACTGTAAATTTGATTGTCAGTATATTAGGGTATGAGGTTGAAAGTTCTAATGACAGTACTCAAAAGAACGTCAGTAATACAGAACATGTCACTGAAAAATAATGGTAACAGTAATAATTTTTACCTTGAAAAATCTGTGAATTATTAACAACTTTTAAAAAACAAATTGTGAATTTTTTTTAAACTTTAAAAATTTGTGTATAATTATGAATTATCTGCCAATTATAATTTTCAAAATATTTTTTTTAAATGTTCGTGATTTAAATATAGGTTTTTATTTTTTCTTAAGGGTATTGATATCAAGCCATTGTATGTAATGGAAGACATAAAAAATATTCCTGATGAATTACCCGGAAAGTTCCCTTATACTCGAGGACCATACCCAACTATGTACGCTCAGAGACCTTGGACAATAAGACAAGTAAAAATATTTAATTTACAACAATTACCTGTGATAAGTATGTTTTGTCAAAGTGAATGATTCTTTCAGAACTAGACATTTATTTACTCACTCATGGAAACATTATTAATTTTAATGTATGTAACAAAAACCTTGGGATTGGTGCCAAAATATACGATATTTAAATATAATTTAAGTAACATTGAGTACTTGCACTGACTAATGTGAAAGGGGGAGTATTGTAATGCTTAAATTATTCGGTATAACATTATCAAACAAATTGTATTTTTTTACACACATGTTTATGTACTAATGACATCACAAACTTGTCAAGTGTAGTGCTCGTATATCATTTTGAATTCTAAAACCCCAGCTTTAAAAAGTTCTTTAGTTCATTTAAACAAAGCTGTTTCTTTTTAGGTGACTTTCACTTTTTTCTTTTATAAATCACTCAAATTAAACTGGCCCGGCATGGCCTGGTGGTTAGGGTGCTCGATTCGCAATCTGAAGGTTGCGGGTTCGAATCCCCGTCCCACCAAACATGCTCGCCCTTTCAGCCGTGGGGGCGTTATAATGTGACGGTCCATCCCACTATTCCTTGGTTAAAGAGTAGCCCAAGAGTTGGCAGTGGGTGGTGATGACTAGCTGCCTTCTCTCTAGTCTTACACTGCTAAATTAAGGACGGACAGCGCAGATAGCCCGTATTTGCAAATCAATTTTCTTTCTATACATTTGAAAGGTTTCAAATATGCAATTTACAAAGTATTTAAAGTCTGGATTAAAAGAGCAAACATACTGTTTAAACTAATATTATTATTTTTTATACACAACATGATGTCCATTGATGCCCATTATATTTGTGTACATGTAAAAAAGATGAAAAAAAAAACTTTGGATACAAGAAACTAAAGGGTAAGAAGATGGTACCGTTTTTGCTACATGACACACTTTCAATAAATCTCTACCTCCATAAGAACTATTTTTAGGGTTAACACATTCTTTAAATTATGTTTGATAAACTACAGTTTTTATTTATTTATTTACTTATCACTAACCATATCACTGTATGAAATCTCAAAAACTTAAGAAAAGTTATTCTAACAATAAATGTATTTCTTTAACCAGCAAGCTCCATTTCAGACAGCCTCAAAAATTTGAGTGACAAACATAACTGTCTTATTGATTTACAAGTAGTTCACATTCTCAATTTTTTAAAATAATTATAATTTTTAACATATAGAGTTTAATGATTGTTTTTGAATTTCACGCAAAGCTACACGATATTTGATGTGATGCAAGAATATTCAGTATCTCTACACGTTTGATGAGCTTATCACTAGATGGCGTTACTGTTTAGTGGTAATTATAAAATATATATATATATATATGAATATGTTTATTATATGTATTAAAAAAAATGCCATTTTTTCCTTCTAAGCATGCTGGGTAAATCCCAATGAAAGTGAATTTGTGCATGTTTTAATTATCCTCCATTCTCTAAAAGTATTTGTGGAAAACATCTTTATTGAGACTTGCAAGATCTATTATTATTACTTGGTGATCATTGAGAATGTATAACAGTGCTGTTAAAACGAAGATAAAAAGTTAATATGCCGTGTTTTGTAGTATTCCGGTTTTAGTACGGTAGAAGAAAGCAATACTTTCTACAAGGAAAACATTAAGATGGGCCAGCAGGGTTTGTCTGTAGCATTTGATCTGGCTACTCACTGTGGATACGACTCTGATAATCCTAGAGTAAAGGGAGATGTTGGTATGGCAGGTGTAGCTGTTGACAGTGTAGAAGATATGAAGGCCTTGTTTGATGGTATACCTTTGGACAAGATCTCTGTTTCCATGACAATGAATGGTGCTGTTATCCCAGTCATTGCAATGTATATTGTTGCTGCAGAAGAACAAGTAAGTGGTTTCATATGGTTTTATTGTTGTGGTAATGAAGTTTGTTATTAACATGTGTGTTAATTGTTATAACATTACAGAATTGTGCATTCTGATATGCAAATTACTTGCAATCTACTAACAATTATTTAGAATCTAAATGGCAAACAAAATATTGTACAAGTAAAGTAGATTAATGCCGATTAATTTTAGAACCAATGACCTTTGAGGAGTTGTGATGTCTTTATTTTTGAAGTGATATCTTAGTGCCATTGACCTTTGAGGAGTCGTGATGTCTTTGTTTTTGAAGTGATATCTTAGTACCATTGACCTTTTTGGAGTTGTGATGTCTTTGTTTTTGAAGAGATATCTTAGTGCCATTGACCTTTGAGGAGTCGTAATGTCTTTGTTTTTGAATGATATCTTAGTACCTTTGTGGAATTGTGGTGTCTTTGTTTTTGTGATAAACAAAACCACAACACTGTCTGACTACATTGATAGAAAATGTGTGTAAAGATGTTGCAAAAATGATTTTGAGTGGACATTCATTTAGAATAAACTGATTTGTAGTTTGCAGCAATAAATAATGTAAACTTTATGTTTATGCTAAATTTTAGCTCACAATAGTACTTATCACTGAAAGAGTAATTATTTAGTGTGATTTTTCTCAAATTCCAGTTAGGAAAAGGTGGGATCCTTTCAGGTGATGTACCATTGGTTTTGTTATTTTACTCTTTTTTATCTATGTAATTCCATAATTTATTGTTAAGTATGAATTCAAGGTTTTGTGAAATTATCATATTTTTTGTATATTTGATTAAGGAAATGAATTAACATTCAGAGATCTGAGTTTGTTGACCTAGCTAGTCAGAGATCTGTGTTTTTTTACTTAGCTAACCAGAGATCTGAGTTTGTTGACCGAGCTTGTCAGAGATCTGAGTTTGTTGACCGAGCTTGTCAGAGATCTGAGTTTGTTGACCGAGCTTGTCAGAGATCTGAGTTTGTTGACCGAGCTTGTCAAAAATCCGAGTTTGTTGACCGAGCTTGTCAGAGATCCGAGTTTGTTGACCGAGCTTGTCAGAGATCCGAGTTTGTTGACAGAGCTTGTCAGAGATCCGAGTTTGTTGACAGAGCTTGTCAGAGATCTGAGTTTGTTGACCTAGCTAGCCGGAGATCTGAGTTTGTTGACCTAGCTGGCCGGAGATCTGAGTTTGTTGACCCCCAGAGATCTGAGTTTGTTGACTGCATCACATTGTTTTGGTTATTTAGCCTACTGCATCACATTGTTTTGGTTATTTAGCCTACTGCATCACATTGTTTTGGTTATTTAGCCTACTGCATCACATTGTTTTGGTTATTTAGCCTACTGCA